GATTCTACCAGAATCATTGTTGGGACGCACATTCCTGGGCTCATATCGCGTACAGTCCATACGCCATAAATTCTGACGACCATGTTCGCTGGACTTAAAACATTTTTCGTCAGAAAATATGGCATTTTCAAAATTAAAATCGCGATAATCACGTGCGAACCTAACACGGGCCTCTTTCTGGGCAGTGTTCAATATAATTTTTTTTGCGGGTTTCCTGTGGTGTATACCAGCTTTATGGAGTCCCCTTCTTATGGTCCTCACGCTGCAGTTATATTCAGACGCGAAATGGGACGTTTTAGTGAACGGAAACTCTTGATATGTGTTTATCATATGAGATACTCGCTCAGGAGTTAATATAGACGGTGGATGTGCTCGGGGCCGATCTTCAATTGACCCCTCTGCAGCATCTCGCTGTATCCAGCGGCGAACAGTCTCTCTCTGCAAAATTAAATTAGAGTTGTTATATTTTAATTAAATGATATAAAATCATGTCATGCATAATTTTTTTTATTTAAGGACAAAATTTGTTCAAGTTGAAGTCACGGTATACATCTTATAACTCTAACGACGCAATTGGTGAAATTGTTACATACTGCATAAAAATAATTTGCATTGCTTTTTTCAAAATAATGCGCTCTATATAAATATGAGTATTTTGTGAAAATAATTATAACTGTTTTGTTTTGATTGTAAGATAATCTAACAAAAGTCAAAAACATTATAACCTAAGTCTAAGGCGCAATCGAAAGATGGGAATGTTTTTCTATTTACATAATATCATTAATATAAAACACACATAAAACTTTATGTTTTAATGACTTACCGAAACATGTAATTCCCTGGAAATCTGCGAAATATTTCTTCCTTGACCGCTTAAAACTAATATTTGATTCCTCTCTTCTCTTGTTAAATTGCGCGCCATTATTTTTGAATTAGACAATAACACAACACAAGATAGTCCAGTTTAAAAAGCAGAGGTTCCGAAATGGCAAGAATCGAAGTCAAATAAACAAAGCCGAGGTTTCGTGGGAGCAAGAATCGGAGTCCGGGTAGCATACACAGTCGAAAGATTTACAATATAATATCACAATTAGATGCGTTGACAATGGGCGAAATGCAAATTGCAACTAAAAACAAGCAAACAAAAAAGTGTTTATTCAAGTACGCATCCTTGCACACGGCACTCAGGGACAGTGGATTGTTATTGGTAGTAGTGAGTGTGTGGGCGGGGCGTAGTAAACGCTGCATGTTCATGCAAATATCGATGCGAAGTGAAAGAGCGCTAATGTCCGCCACTGTACCTATTTGTAATAAATCGATATATTGCGAGACTTCAACGAACAATGTCAGACCCTATTTGCCACAAAATTTCAGAAGAATTGCATTTGATGCTTTACATAATTTAAGTCATCCGGGGATACGCACGACAAAAAAATTAATTACACAAAAGTTTTTTTGGCCGGGTATGAATAAAGATATGATTTTATGGGCAAAATGTTGTATTAAATGTCAAACATCAAAAATTAATAGACATACGGTATCCGAATTTGGCGAATTTCCTACAGTAAATCGTTTTGAACACATCCATGTAGATATAATCGGACCGTTGCCGACCACGGCACAAGGCTATAGATATTGCGTTACAGCTATTGATAGAAAAACCCGATGGCCAGAAGCATTTCCTGTTCAAGAGATAACAGCGGAATGCGTAGCTAAAAACATTTTTGAAGGATGGATTGCTCGTTATGGATGTCCGAGCAAAATATCCAGTGATCAGCGTAGACAGTTCGAGAGAAACTTGTTTACATCGTTATTAAGGAATTTTGGCATTAAGAGACAAAGAACGACCGCATATCATCCGCAGAGTAACGATATGGTAGAGCGATGGCATCGTTCGTTGAAAGTCGCGTTAACAGCGAGATAGAATAATTCTTCGTGGGTTGACGAATTGCCCACAGCTATGTTAGATCTTCGTGCAGCAATGAGGAGCGATAACAGCGTCAGCGCAGCCGAAATGACATTTGGGCGAACTTTACGTTTACCTGGTGATTTTTATGACATCATTAATGCAGAGGTAAGTGACGACTTTAATTTAGTTGAGAAAATACGTCACTCGATAGCTAAATATAGGCCCAACTTAAAAAGCAATAGCAACACACGATCTTTTTTCGTTCATCCAGATTTGAAAACGTGTAGTCGCGTTTTTGTAAGGGATGACACTGTTAGACGACCCTTAAAGTCACCTTATGATGGTCCATATAATGTTTTAAAGTGTTCAAGTAAAGTATTTTTGATACAATTACCAGATCGCAAAGTAAATACATCGATAGACCGATTGAAACCGGCGTACGTATTGAACGATAACGACGACGTCACGCCCACAGTCACTCAGCCGAGCAGTGATAAAGTAAATGTAGACTCAAGTAAAATAAGAAATTCGATTGTTTTCAAGACTAGGAGTGGTCGTACAGTTAAACCACCAGTTCGATTTATACAATAAAGATCCCGTAGGCCGTGTTGCTCAACAGGTATGGCGCATACTCTGTTGGAATGCCAAGGGCAAATTGTTTGCATAGAGTTATATTAGAGATAGCATGATTGTTTTATATAATGATTTTTTATTCCACTGAATACGTCACATTGGTTAGTGTTTTTAGAGATGTATTAATAAAAGAAATAATAATGACGACCCCATCGCCCACTGATGCGGCGAGTTTAGTGAGAGGATTTGCCGTATCAGTGCAATTAGTCCGCACCTAAAATGTTACTCATAGGCGAGAAGTGTTGGTCCGTGCTTCTTTTCCATCTGCCGTCATTGTGGGTGCAATCTATCTTAACGGACCCATCAGGGAAATGGGCGACCCCTGATGTATCAAGCCTATTTAAGTACGATGATGAGTGGAGTAAATAGAGCGCGTATAGGGCCGCTGCCTGGGGGTCGCCAGGGCTCGCCCGGAGCTGGCGCAGGGTCGAGCAGAATGCGAGCCAGCCAACCCCGAGGGCCGGCACGACCATCTCGCCGGCCCACTCCACCATCACCACCAGCTGGCTTGGGTCCGGCAGGGTCTTCACAGACCCAGCAATCGGTCCCCGCCGCTGGCGGAGTACGCCGCATGAGGTGGACTACTCCACAAAACGAAAACATCATGCGCGCGTACTACAGGGCGACAGAGACAGGTGTCGGCGGAACGGGTTATCGGGCAAGATTGCTTGCTGCGTTTCATACCCTGGAGCCTTCGCTGTCCGTTACGGCGCAAAATTTGGCAGATCGAGTTCGCTTTATTCTTCGGAGAGAAATCTTTACTCTAGCAGAACTCGGTCAACTACGACTCGAGGTTGTGTCGTCTATGAGTCCCGGTAGCAGAAGGCAGAGCAGAAGGCAGAGCAGAAGGCGGAGTAGCATTGCGCGCAGCACCATATGCGACCCAAATGCTACAGTGGCCAGTCCTGCTCCTGATGAAACGGGAAGGGTAGACGACGCAACCGCCCAGAATTTAGAGCAGATCAGGGGATTACTTGAAGAGGCGATTCTCGAATTTCGCGAGCTCCCACTTGAGGAGAGGCCGAAGATCCCGAGGATACCCCTAAGTCGTAAAAATCGGGATGTCGTTGAGGCAGTAAGCCAAATGCTTCTTCCATACTTGGAAGAAAGCGGCAGTCTCAGTGATACCAACTCGATCCTATTTGGCGCCGCATTGGCGGTCTGTCGATTCATCGGCGCCAAAGTGCCCACTGGGAGAGCTGAACGGCATACCAATGCCCGGCACAGCGAGACTCCGGCGTGGCGTAAGAGGATTGAGAAACGTATTGCTGAGACCAGAGTCCTCATCGGCAAACTGATTAGTTTCAGGTCAGGCAATACGAGGCCGAGGGTGATGCGTTACGTACACATGGCAATGGCGGGGATTGATTTCAGTCTTGCAGACCCCGCCTTAATGCGAAAAGTGTCGGAGCGCATCGATGACCTGAAACAGAAAATTGCGGCTTGGGGAAGTCGGATACGGCGGTACTCCGAGAGAGGGGCAAGGTTTCGCCAGAATCGTCTCTTTGGGAGTGACCAAAAGAAGTTTTACCATACATGGGAGACACGAGCTGGCCCCTCCACTGGCCAAGGACCGAATGTCACAGATGTCATTGCCTTTTGGCGGAACATCTGGTCCCGGCCTGTGGAGCACATAGAGGGCGAATGGATGGCGCCTATAGAGGAAGCGTGTGCATCGATAGATGCGATGAACCCCATTACCATAGAGTCGGATGACGTGTTGGCTGCGGTCCGTAAAGCTCCGAACTGGAAAACTCCAGGGATTGACGGACTGCACCACTACTGGTTGAAGAGTTTCCGCTCATGCCACGCATTCCTGGCCCGCCAATTCCAAGACGCCCTAGAACAGCGAAGTCTCCCAAACTTCTTAACAACCGGGGTCACTCACTTAGCTCCAAAGTCCACCAATACCGCGGATCCGTCACAATACCGCCCCATAACGTGCTTGTGTACCACCTACAAAGCACTGACATTCATTCTGAAGGCTAAGATTGATGCTCACGTTGAGCACAATCATATCATGGTGGACACTCAGAATGGATGCAGGGGCGGGAGCCGCGGTTCAAAGGAGCTTCTCCTGATCGATGCGGTCGTGGCCCAACAGGTCAAACGCAACCGACGCAACTTCTCTGCAGCCTGGATAGACTACAAAAAAGCGTTTGACTCGGTTCCCCATACGTGGTTGAAGAGGGTCCTCGAGCTGTACAAGATCGATAGTACAGTTCGAAACTTCCTCGAGACCTGTATGGGGCAGTGGAGTACGCAGCTTAGTCTGTTCGGGGTGCAGCTGTCGGATGCGGAAGACCGAATAAAGATTGAGAGGGGTATATTCCAGGGCGATTGTCTGAGTCCACTTTGGTTTTGCCTGTCCCTAAATCCGCTTAGCACTTTGCTGGATAAACCAGGGACAGGTTTTCAGTTGAAGAGAGGATTGTTCAAAATATCTCACCTCTTCTACATGGATGATCTCAAGTTGCTTGCTCCAAATGCTCAGAGGCTGGTGGAGCTGCTGAAAATCACAAAGGATTTCAGTAGCTCCATCAGCATGGAGTTTGGGCTGGACAAGTGTGCGGTTATCCATGTGGATAGAGGTCGGATAAGTGATTCCACCCAAGTGGACCTACCGGATGGATCCACCATCCGTACCCTCTCCGAAACTGATACATACCGGTATCTGGGTATGTCACAGTGTGATGTATCAATAAAGTGTAAGCGGCGCGTGAGCGTACGCGCGGCGGGTGGGGGATGTTAGTCTGTGTTCCCGACCGTGGCGGACGCACGCGCGCTTCTTGGCTAAAACTGGGACTGTTTTATTTATTTAATAACCCCGATAAAACCAGGACACCACACGTGGCGACGAGCCCTCAAGTAAGTGGTGAATTTGTTCTAAAATGTGATTTAATAAAATTACATAAAAAGAGGGAAATAACGAACTCACGTGCAAAATTCAAATGGGTACGTAATGTATTAAGGCGCAAACGATCAAGCGGTATGCGTAGTTGAGATGTGTAGGTATTAAGAACGATTCAATAAAATCTTAATAACATCAAACTACTACCCACTTATCTCAGTATTATTTTTCTAATAGGATGTGTAACTATGCTCCATTCATTATAACATTAGAAAAAAGAGGGTCACAGAAGCAGCAGTGCAGAACATTTTATTTTCAAGATAAATTTTAAAAATCTATATAATAGTTTTGTTGACACTTTGATCGTTAGGTAATGTTTGAAAGAGTTGGGCAATTTTCCATTTTCTTTTGAGATGAGGCTAGAAATCTCTAAATTCATCTTTTACTCCCAAGCCAATATGGAACTATAACTATGCATCTGTCGTTTTGATAAAATTCTAATTGTAAATGTATAATTAGAATAGAATTTAGATAGATATATTTATGCCCAGGAAAGAAAGGTAAACAAAATGAAATTTTTATTATTACTTTTATAACATTTATTCAGATTTTATTAGATTTTTGATTAAGATATTGGAAAAACTTCCTGAAATGTAAGAGGTAATTGTTGTAGGCCATTCGGACCTGCACCGGAATCGTCCATATTTAGCAAAACTTAACTACAAAAAGATAACAACTAAAACAAATCTATAAGAGAACAAAAATAATACAATAAAAACTCAATCACGGAATACCTACGGTAAAACAACAAGAAAGGCAATAACATTCACAACTAATGAGAATCCCAGATTACATATTTTGACTATTACGAATACATCACAATCTGACAAAATTAAAAAGCTGTACTACCGAAACGTTGAAGGGATAAGGCAACGTTTTAAATTTGGTAGAGTTATAGTGACATGACGTTCTTGCCAAGACTATCCAACCCTGCTTCTCTAGGTTCTTAAAGATGAACACTTTTTATTGTAAGAGTTATTAAATCTTTTAAGTTAGTCAAATACTCATAATTATGTTTAACAGATGGCTTAAGCGACAATTGTTAAGTATAGCAGCTGGTATTTAAGTGGATATGTAGCAAATAAGCCGTCAGTCTTAAGAGTAACATGATTGTTAATATTTTGTCACAAAGTATACCATAAAAAGAACCTTATTTAACTTCTGTCTGATGCTATAATGTATGGAGTATAATTGAAATTAGCACAAACGTTATCTTATGTCAATGCCGAAGTTACACTGACAGCTCACTGACAGCTAGTGATTCCAGTAATGCAATCGATAAATAGTTATGTCCATGATATTCGATATTTTCACTCTAACATTACTTAAATGATTTTGCAATTAATATTTGTGACGTAATACTTCCGACTACAGTAATAATAATCATACAGTCGGTATGTAATCATACAATAATCTTGATTCTGGAAGTTATTTTGTTTTCCCATAAGATTGAGATTACTATCTAAACTAAAACGGAACCATAATCAATTGGCTAACTATAGATACCCATAGACATTCACACGCATTTCAAATAAGTGTATTTATTTACATTGCCGTTGACAATTTTATACTTAAATTAAGTTTTGCGTTGGTAGTAGGCTGTAGTCTAGGAATAACTCCGCGGGAAATAATAAATTCTAGAACGCATGGGCCGCGGGTTTGATTCCCGGTTAGGGTTAAAACATGTTCAAAGATAAACGCTATTGTCACTTAACATGGCATTAACCAATGTTTTTATAATTATATTATTACTAATTTATAATTATATAATTCAAACCAATATTCATTTTTATCTTTAGAAAATACTAGGTTAGGTCTTTACCTGGTACAGACAGGTAACAATACACCTACTTACCTACACATACCTACTAAACCGCCTTATTACAAGTCCTAAAAGGTACCAAGGGTACAATTTATATTCTGCCAAGGCGCGGTAAGGTGCCAAGGAGCGCAAAGGTTATTTTTCCAAAGTGAATTAAGGTGCCAAGGAGCACGAGTAGGTATGAAACTTGCCAAGCGCAGCTATTATGTGAGATTATTTAAAATACCTATTGCATTACATGGGCCTAACAAATAAAAGGTATAAAAAATAAAAAATAAAAAAAAAAACTTCACAACCAATTTAAACTAGTATACTTAAACAATAGTTGGTTCACACTTGTGCTACAAATTTAATTGCACTACTAATTATTTGGTAGTCTATAATATTTAAATATTAATTATAAGCTGTTATTCAAAAACATATAAATAAAGTATAAATATAATATACCCATTACAAGCATCTACTTTTAATTGAATGTTTATCTTCTTCTAATAATAAATATATATATAAAAAAAATACACATTAGGATAAACTTATGATATCCAAACGTATAAATTTAAAGTCATTACTTATTAATAACAGTCATGGTATAAGGTATGTTTAACTATTGACAAAAAACCAGCAAATAATGAACAGATGGCCGTTAATATCCTAAGTAAATAAATAAAAATAATACTTGGATGTTAAAAATATGTAATGCAATTGCGATTTTAAAAAGTAATAATAAAAAAAATTAAATAAAATAAAAAAAAAAAAAAAAACTTACCCTGACTCTAGTATCCGGAATACATACCTTAGGCACCAAGGGTGCAATAAAAGGACACTCTAATGTTGTTTCAGGTTCGCCCAAAATGTCCAATTTACCGCCGGTAGAACCATTACAATGCGATGGCGATCCCATGTCACTGGGATTGCGTTGGGACAAATGGAAGAGAGCCCTAGAGATATACCTTTTGGCGTCAGGTGTGGATACGCCTGCCAAGAAAAGAGCTATTCTTCTCCATATGGGGGGAACAGCATTACAAGAAATTTATTATAACATACCAGGAGCACACGTTTCGGATGACGAGATCACAAATACAACCGATGTCTATAAAACGGCAATAGAAAAATTAAACGAGTATTTCTTACCTAAACAAAGCAAAGTATACGAGCGCCATTTATTTAGACTACTCAAACAGGAATCGGATGAAAAATTTGATAAATTTCTTGTAAGACTGCGCCAACAAAGTAGGAAGTGTAATTTTGCAAAGGAAGAGGATACTCTTATTGATCAGATTATCGAAAAATGTAGTTCCGTTGAACTGAAGAAGAAAATGTTGACCCTAGGTGATGCTATTACATTAGACCAAGTTATTATAGAAGCCAATGCAATGGAATCAGTACAACGACAATTATCGGACTTTAGTAATCAACGAACTGGTTCTATAGTGAACAGAATTGAATCAAAAGGCGATGACTTCCAAAAAAACTGTTGTTTCCGTTGCGGTAGTGCGAAACACAGTGGAGATAATATGTCCTGCCCTGCCCGTGATAAAAAATGTTCTAAATGTGGTTATATTGGACATTACATGGCACGATGTCGAACTCGAGCCAATAAACGGAAGTCTACGCACCAAGATGGATCTAAATTGCCCAATAAAAAAAGTAGACCGCCTTTTAAACCTAAAAACTACTCGAATCCCAAAGAAGATGAGAAAAAGCCTTGCACTTCATCGTCTTCAAATATAAACTACATATTTTATCTTGGCGAAGACGAGAAGATAAAATGTAACCTCGGTGGAGTCAACGACGTCGAGTTACTAATTGATTCTGGAAGTAATTCTAACATAATAACCGACAAAACTTGGAACTTCTTGAAAAGTCGTAATATAATTGCTTCGAACCAAGTACGGAATCCAGACAAAATCTTTATGGCATATGGTAGTAACGCTCCTTTAACAGTCCTGGGCTCTTTTGAGGCCAAAATCAGAATTGGTTCAGAAGAAAAGCAGAGTACATTCTATGTCATTAAGGATGGTACACGGGATTTACTTGGCAAAGAAACAGCTATTGATCTCAATGTGTTAAAACTTGGATTAAATATCAATATGGTAAATCAACAACAGAATGTAAATATTTTCCCGAAATTCAAAAACATTAAGCTGGATATCGCTATCGATTGTACAATTACTCCTGTCAGTCAGCCATGTCGTAGGATACCAGTACCTCTCGAAGAAAAGGTAATTTAGAGACAAGATTCCGTCGATAACTGGGAATAATAGCGAGGTTGATTTGGAAATCAGGGATAGAGATAGATTCATGAAAGAAAAAGGGAAAATATACGAGGACCGGAAAAGAAAAGCAACAGACTATGAAATAGGGAAAGGAGAGAAAGTCTATGTAAAAAACATGACCAAAGAAAATAAGCTTACTACAACGTTCAACCCTACACCGCATACTGTAGTAAGTTCTAGTGGCAATGAATACAAGGTCAGGAACGACGAAACAGAAGGAACTTGATACACCTTAAATAGGTAGAGGTCAATGGCAAATTCACCAGCCTGAAGATGACAAACACGCAGAAGATTTGGAGACTGAAACTGATTTAACGGAAACATAAAAATAAACAAATAATTTTGTAACGTTAGGCAACAGGTCTGGAAGACCGTTAAATATATTTTGGAATAACAGGTGTATTAGTTTTAAGAATATTAATCTACATACGATTATTACAATTCTTATAAAAAGGAAGAGGTGTGATGTATCAATAAAGTGTAAGCGGCGCGTGAGCGTACGCGCAGCGGGTGGGGGATGTTAGTCTGTGTTCCCGACCGTGGCGGACGCACGCGCGCTTCTTGGCTAAAACTGGGACTGTTTTATTTATTTAATAACCCCGATAAAACCAGGACACCACACACAGAATCTGGGTGTGCATATGGCGGACGTGAAACAATCCGTTAAGGAGGCCTTTTTGGGACGCCTGACTAAGGTGCTTGAAAGCTACCTGTCAGGCGTCAACAAAGTCAGGGCCATCAACGGTTGGGTCATGCCAGTCCTAATGTACACCTTTGGCATACTCAGATGGACTCAGACCGAATTGGACGCCCTGGATCGGAAAGTGCGCACAACTTTGACACTCCATAGGATGCACCACCCGAGATCGTCAGTGATGAGGCTGTATATCCCGAGGAAGAGCGGCGGTCGTGGGCTGCTCAGTGCGAAAACCCTGCACAACCGCGAGATACACAGTCTCCGTAATTACTTCCTGGCGAAATCGGAATCCAGTGAGTTGCATAGAGATGTCAAAGCATGTGATGTAGGACTAACCCCTCTCTCTTTGGCCACCGAGCAATGGCGAGAACCGGCAGTACTTAGCACCACTGACCGAGAGGCCGTTTGGAGGGAGAAGGAGTTGCACGGTAGGTTCTACAAGGCGCTACACGAGCGTCATGTGGATCCGAGAGCCTCCGTGCATTGGCTGCGCTTCGGGGACCTCTTTGGGGAAACCGAAGGTTTTGTCTGTGCAATACAGGACCAGGTCATTATGACCCGAAACTACCGGAAGTATATCCTGAAGGATGGGACAGAGGACGTTTGTAGAGCCTGTCACCAGCCCGGTGAGTCACTCAGGCATATTACTTCCGGTTGTCCTGTACTGGCTAATACCGAGTATTTGCACAGACATGACCAAGCAGCCAAAATACTCCATCTCGAGCTAGCCTTCAAATACGGCCTCATAGGCGAAAAGGTGCCGTACTATAAGTATGTGCCGGAGCCAGTTCTTGAAAACGACCGCGCTCGATTGTACTGGGACCGGTCCGTCATTACGGACAGGACTGTTCCTGCGAACAAGCCTGATATCGTACTGATGGACCGGGCGGAATCTCGGGTGTTCTTAGTGGATGTCACCGTCCCATTCGATGAAAACCTCGTGAAAGCCGAATCAGACAAAAAACTTAAATATCTGAACCTGGCGCACGAGGTTACCGATATGTGGCGAGTGTCATCCACTGAGATCATCCCAGTCGTAGTGTCAACGAATGGCCTAGTCCCGACTTCTCTTCACGACCATCTGAAGAGGTTGGGACTCCGTGACGGACCAATGATTGCGAGGCTCCAGCGGGCGATCTTGCTCGATAACGCAAGGATCGTCCGCCGTTTTCTCTCTTTGTCGCCCTGACCCCCGGCCGTCTGGCCTCCTCTGCCGGGGGGAATCCTCCCACCCCTCGAATCGTCGAGGGGTCAGGAAGAGTAAATTATGGATACGGGAATAATAATAATAATATACTTTATTGCACACATATAGACAAGTAACACATTACAAAGAAAGAAAAAAGATTAGACAGTACAAAAGGCGGCCTTATTGCTATGCAGCAATCTCTTCCAGGCAACCAATGGTAGCATAGAAAACATAGATAAACAGTAATGAATGATAACGGGGAGTAGGTGCAATAGCGACAGGAATTAAATAGATATACATAAAGAGAAAAATATATAATGTACACGAAAGAGAGAGAGTTAAAAGTTGGAGAGAAAGTGACATTTTACTTCTGCGACGAAAGATCGCAAAGTGCGAGCCTTCCTAATATTTTCTGGTAACGAGTTCCAAAGCCGAACAGCTTGAACAGAAAAAGAATAGGATAGGAAGTCAGAGGAGTGAGGAGGGATATCAAGTTTCAGGTTTGAGGCAGACCGCAGAATACACTGTGATCTGGATGAGGAGTTGCGAAAGGAAAAAAAAATTTTTAAGTAGGGTGGAGACATGGGCAAGAAAAGAACAGAATAAAGAAGCGTAAGAGTGTGTAAGTCCCTGCGCCGGCGAATAGGGAGCCAGTTAAGTTTTGAGCGGTAATGCGACACATGGTCATATTTGCGAAGATTAAAAATAAACCGAATACACATATTCTGCAGACGCTCTAATTTGTTGAGGAGTTCCTCGGTTAGATCGGTATAGGAAACATCAGCGTAGTCAATGATGGAAAGTAGGAGAGTTTGTGCAAGCGTGATTTTAGTTTTAGTTGGTAGGAAATTTCGTAGTCTATTTAGCGAATTGTACGCAGCAAACACTTTTTTTCTTAGTGCATCTATTTGAGGCTTCCATGTAAGACACTGGTCAAATATGATACCAAGGTTTTTGACCATACTCGAGTAAGGAATGATAGTGCCATCGAAAGAAACTGACGGGAGATGTTCAAAATCGATCCTCGAAACGAAATATGGACTTCCAATTATTATAGTCTGTGTTTTTGAGGGATTAACAGTAAGACCGAAAGACTTGCTCCAGCTACAGATAAGTGAGAGGTCATTATTAGTAACCATAGCCGCATCGGAAAGGTTTGAGAGCGAAGCTTGAGTGTAAATCTGCAGATCGTCAGCGTATAGATGATAGGAACTAGAAAGTGAGTGAGTAATTGAATTTATAAAAATACAGAAAAGTAGAGGAGATAAGACGCCACCCTGAGGAACACCGGCAATGAGACTACACCACGAGGAAAAAATGCCTTCTCCACGAATACGCTGCCGGCGGCCTAGCAGGTAACTTTGAAACCAAGCAATTGCCGCTGGAGATATGTTAAGAGAACGCAGAATACCGAGAAGGATGTCAAAATCAACAGAATTAAAGGCATTGCTGAAATCAAGCAATGTCAACAATGTCAGCTGGTGATTCTCCATCCCATGTCGGATGTCATCTGTAATTTTAACCAATGCAGTATTTGTGCTGTGGCCTGTACGAAAACCAGATTGAAAGGGGTTGAGGAGGTGATTTTGATTTAGAAAGGCCGTAAGTTGGCCATAGACTAGTTTTTCAAGAACTTTTGAGAGGAAAGGAAGAATGGATATGGGGCGGTAATCACAGAAAGAGGCCGGATTTGTTTTTTTCGGGATAGGGATAACATTAGCATCTTTCCAGCATGTAGGAAAGACACCAGTGGAAAGGGATGTATTTAGGATAAAGGAAATTACGGGAGTCAGGATATCTTAAATGGGAAGGATCATTTTGCGGCTAATGGAATCACTTCCTACTGCATTGGAATCAACAGTCAATATAGTTCTCCTAACATCACAGTCAGCAAATTGACGTAAGAAGAAAGAGGAGTCCGGCATCGGCAAGTTAGAAAGATGTCGTAAAGTTTCAATTTTACGTGTGCCATCAATAGGCATAGAAGAGGAGAAGTAACTGTTAAGTTGGTTGATATTCAGAAAGTCGTTGGGATTACTGTTAGGAGATTTGCCAATACCAAGTGTTTTTAAGAATTTCCATACTTTCGCAGGATCTTCATCTTCAATAGATTTATGAATGTGACGTCGTTGGGCGTCCCTGATCACTGTGTTACACTTATTTCTGGTACGGTGATACTTCGTTTCGTTTCGGTACGGTGATACTTCGTTTCGTTTCGCTTCGAAGGATCGAGTCTGAATCTTGTTTTGGCCCTATTCTTCCTGTTCATCAGTGCACGAATCTCATCTGTTAACCATGGGGCCGGAAGATGTTTGATTTTCACCGGTCGAACGGGAGCGTGTATGTCGTAGAGGTTGGTCAAAAGTTTATTGAAGTGCTCAACCTGTTCATCCACAGAATCAGTGGCGAAGATAACTGACCAGTCAGTGTTGGCTGCATCTTCACACAAACGGTTTAGATCAATTCTTGCAAAACTACGCTATTAAATATGTAGTCAGAATCTATTGATATGTATAAATTTATCGCAAAACGACATACATAATTGTCCAAGGTGCAAAATACATACTTAACGGTATTTAGGTCACTATGCAGTAAGTAAATATTGTAACGTTGTAACTTTTACGCACGTACGAAAAATTGATGAACATTTTAAAAAGTATATAAAGAAAGTAGCTGATAATGTTTATTCATTTTTTATAAAATTTTGGCAGTGCAACATCGTTAATATTTAATTATCATGGGCTGGGGACAAAGCAAACAAGAAAACGTAGCAGTCGCTCAGGCTCAGACAGTTGCAGATAATAATGCAAAATTCGAGTCAAAGACAGTCTATTTGTCGATTATAGTATTAGTTGCAGTCATATTATTATAAGTGTGTATTATTGTATAGTATTATTGTAGTGTGCATCATATTATGTGTTATAAGACAGCAGTGTATAATAACCACCAAATCATGGTTAAGAAAGCAAGTTTCTAATGGTGGCACACAGGAACAGCTCGTAATTAGAGTACAGTCGATGCCACAACAAATGCAGCAAGTGTAGACACTGATAACAGAATACGGAGTGAAGATAGTTTTGATTTTAATTTTTAACAAAGTTTTTTTCGTACGTACGTAACAAGTGTTACATATATAATTTTTTTTAATATCCGTGTTAGTATTTAAGGTATTTCTGACAGTTATGGTTATGGGAAATAACTAATGGGATTATTAAATGTATTTTATATATTTGTAAAATGGGATTTATATAATATATACTAGCTTTCGCTTGGTTGCCCCGGGCTGCGAGCAGCCCGGGGAGGTAACGAGTAGCTAGTGGAATCGGGGCAGTGGGGGTTTTAAGTCCGCCTCCTGTTATGTCGGGTTTATAGTTTGAAAACGCCTACAAAAAGTTAGTAATTTCTATCTACAAATGAAAGATGTTTAAGTACACAGAGCACCATACATCAAAGAAAAAGGGTTCCCAGTTTACACTTAATAGAAAATGAAATAGTCAGTCTAAAACGCTAGATCAACTTGTTGTCTTTTACTCTTTTTTATTCTTATTATTGAATAAGTAAATTAGTATTTTGTATTAAAAAACAACAGAACATATATTTCTGCCAGAGTTATTATTATTAATCAGTATTTATTTTATTTGCATATATATTAAAAAAAAACAAATGGTCCATATATACGCTATAAAGCTCCCGAGTTGTCAAGTCCATCAAAATCAAATCTGAAATTAAAATGGTAACTGCGCGGGCTGGATTGATCGTAGTCAACCTTACAAGTTCATCTTGAAATATTATAAACCAAATGTATCCTTCAGCAAAAGCGAGTCGTTTCTGTTACTATACTTATAACAAAATACTTGAGCAGAAATCATAAAGAAATATTTGTGCATTGCTGTCAATTTAAAGCATATACATTATTTATGTAAGATTTATTTATTATATCGACGGTTAAAAGGAGAAATGACTCAAGCGACATTTTGAGAACTTTACAGGAGAGCCGTTTAAAGTATTTATTTTTACAAAAAAAATCATAACACTTTACAGTTTTGTTCAAACCTCATTCTGCTTACATCATTATATAATATAATCAAAAAGCTATGTTTGATATTGAAAAAACGAAAATTGCGCCATAAACAACGAAGATAGCTGTCGTTTAAGTTAAATTGCAGTTTTACAGGGAAAGGAAAAATAATTTATGCACCATAGACTTTTACCTCAACACAAAGAAAAATAACTGAACTCCATAATAAATAATATTTTGTACAAGGTAAAAAGCTTTAACTGACAGGCTAGTATAAAGATCAGATAAAGTAAATAAGTTGAAACCTAGTAATACAAAAATATGAGACAGAGAAAAATAACTCAGTGATTTTATGATGGTTTTTCAAGTAAAGTATAAATAACTGAATGAGCTAATTTCTACTTTTTTGAGGGATTGAAATCCTTATAAAATAAAATTACACTATTTTAGGTAATGGTACTTAAGTCATTGCATTTCAGAATTTTCTTATTCTATAGCCCTGGTGTAAAGTTTTGATTTGAAGTAAAAACAATGTAGGTCATTGTAGGTATTTATATTTACATTAAAAACAAAATAAATAAGTTTAAGAAACGTTTATTACTGTTATAATTAATCAAATACAAAGCTTATATCGAAAGTATTTGGTCTCATTATAGGAACATTACGATATACCTACGTATCACAAATAATCACAATCATGAAAAAATAGTAACAAATCAGTCAATCATAATTATATTAATCACAATCTTAATGTTTCTAGAATATCACAAAGTTAAACAAAACAAGTTAATTATGAAAATTCTTAAAATATTCTTTTTTTATTCGTTTCCACTAGTTTCATCTTCCACATCGGTATCAATTAAAGTATCACATCCATTTACAGATGGTTAAAGTTTAAATATTCTCGCTGAAATATTTTTGGGATAACGCCAGTCTCGCACAGTTTTTTTAAGTCGTTATACTTTGTTTTTGTAATTGGCAAGTTTGTCTTGTATAGTTTAGTGTTAACAGTTTTTTGTTTACCCAAGACTTGAATCAATTCGGACTCAGACCCCTCTTTCATCGAATATTTTACAGCTATGAAGGTTGGAGTTGATTTTTTGCAGTGACCACTCGATTTAGTATTTGGAGGTGTGATAAGTTCGACATCATCACCTTCTAAGGATTTCCGTATGACTTCCATCTGTTCCTCTAGTATAATATCCGTTATTGTTGGCTGAAGGTCGTCACTATTGGACTGGGTTGGTAAAACTACTGCATGTTCCTCTGCGTAATGATCTGATATGTTTTCATTTAAATCTATTTTTTCCGGTTCCTTTACATGAACTACTGACTGTACCGACATATTATGTTTATGAGGCCGGTACAGTTCAAGGTTCTGCAAAATAATTCCAGTTTTAGAAGTATTTGGCATAAGCACAGGTTCCGCGCTGCATATTTGTGTGTCATCCTATAATTAAAATTATTAAATTAAATAGCAAAGTCATCTACACTAAATAATTCAGCAATAAACGCAACAGCAATGGTTTTATGCACAAGATTACCTCATTTTCTAATGGTTCAATAATTATTTGAATTCTTCCATCTTCCGTTTCTTCGCATTGTGCAAGTTCCTTGGCGTCCATAAGCTGAAAATAAAATAAAGTAATGTTTTTTGTAATTACGTGTATATTTATCAATAAAGTTCGTTAATTTTATTAAATTAGTAACTAACCTGCTCTTTACGTTTATAATGAAATTCTGCACCTGTTGTGACCATATTTTCACTAACATCCATTGTTTTATATCTATCATTTGAAATCTGTAAATAAATGAAATTATACTAGAAAAATATGCCTGAAAATAATACTACTATACTAGAAAAATAACCCTGCCTGCAGAGCTCCTATTTTTCTAGTATAATTTCATTTGTAATAAAAGAATAGCATTATGCAAAATTAATAAAAATACAATGTGTAAATAAGATAAATATGGGCAGGTGAGTATGAATTAAATTCAGTTTGTTTAGGCCTTTCGCCCCTTTTTTATACACAACGGGAAAGTGCTTGACTTTCATATCACCTAAGTGGCCGAAGATTTACTTCACCCGGAATCCTCAACCACTGAGAAACTGACTACCTTATCTGTAACTACCGGAACACAACAATGCTGTTAACATTGTTGCTATGGCGGCAGACTTAGATAAGACGGTGGTGGACAGGCGGATTTAGAACAAGCCCTACCACTAACCAAACCGAATACAAATTTGTACCCCCTTGGCAATCAAACCCTGGACTTCTGCATCTGCCCTCTACTTTTCTTTTAAATTTACCTCGAACAGTTTCCTTTTCACATGTGTTAATGTTTGAGTAATGTTTCTGTCCTTGTGACTCTTTATGTTTGTTTTTTTTGAAAGTTTTGTCACTATTTTCTATATTGTCTAAATTGCTTTCGCGTTCTATGTTTGAAGTTTCCAAAGTACTTTTTGGTTGCTTGGTTAACTTTTGAACCTGAAAAATGCATACAAAAATAGGTTAAAAAACGAAAATATTTATTTATTTATTTAATCTTTATTGCAAAACAACAAAAGGCAAACTTAACGCCTAACGGCATAATGATTACTGACACAACAACAATTATAAGTAGTTATAAATTAATATTTATTATTAAGTAGCTTCCAACGTTTAAAACTTGTAGGCACAGATAGAGGATACCTTGCCTACTAAAATTAAACTTAAAACAATATGATCTGCAACCACAAAGAAATAACAACACAGACACAACATTTCAGTTGCAATAGTTACAGACACTCACAGGGAATAATAATAACTAAGTACCTACTTACACTTTTATTATTACAATCAGAGTCAGTCACTGGAATAGACAATAATTCTGCCTCTGATATGGTTTTTCCAGATTTTGTAAAATTATCTATAGTCTACCTAAGAAATTTCTTTCGCTTGGTCTCCATTTTAAATTCTATAGTTAGTCTGCATTAGTACAGAAAGAAACCGAATAAATTATCAATTTATCTATACATGTAATTTATCTATATCTATATTTATGTAAATACTACAACACAGCAATTTAAAATAAGCACTTAACAAAATAAATGACTAAAAAAAACACCCAAATTCACGAGTAGCTCTTGGCAGGACTGGAAACGATGACTCGCGTGGCACTGAAGCATTCTATGCACTGAAGTGATCGCGCGAGCTACTTTCTTTAAATAAGTGCGCGGCACCGATGTATTGATTGATCGAACTTAAATTACCAACAAAATATTTTGTTACTAAAATTTACGTTGCTTATTGACCACTGCAAAATTGGCAGAATAAAGTAACAATGGCCTATGGTTAATGCTTTTACAGAACTTATAAATTTAATGGCAAATTCAACTTTTCGAATATAGGTAAAATACACTGATATCAAAAAAAAAAAAAAGATTTGATATAAAGAAAAATGGCTTATCCTACTTAGTATTATTATTTTTGTTTATGTAGAAGTCGCTTAAGTGACGAGCCTTATTTATTTTGTTTCAAGCAAAATGACTCAACTGACATCGTAAAATAAACTTGTTCGAATAAGAATAACTTAAACGACACACGCTGCATAATCTGAATGAAGTAAAATGCTTTAACCAACTGATATTACGCAATTCTGCACAAAGTAAAATATCTGAAAGGCATAGTGAATATGATTTCTTAAAAGGATGAATGGCTCAAGTAAGTAGTGAGGACATTTCCAGCACTTTGGAAATAGGTGAAGTCCATTTTTCCAAAAAGAGTATTTTTTTGTCACATAACACCATGGCTTTGGAAATGGTACCCTTTTTCACCATTGACTCAAGCGACAAAAAAGTGTTATGATTTTAATGAAAGTCAGCTCAAAAGACGCAGAAAAATTCGCTGATTCCAAATATGTATATAAGTCAATATGACCCAGAGTGTCGCTTGAGTCATTTCTCCTTTTAACCGTCGATATGAAAAGGGAACCGATATTGTGACCAGATATTAAAATGGATCAATTCGTGAGGCGGTGGGGTTTTAATTTCCGCCTTCATCGCAGAATAGAAGCTTTCGCTTGGTTGCCCCGGGCTGCTCGCAGCCCGTGGAGGTAACGAGTAGCTAGTGGAATCGGGGCGGTGGGGTTTTAAGTCCGCCTTCGTTGCAGAATTTGAGTTTTTCGTTTTTTTTTGTTATGTTTGTTTTATAGTTTGAAATCGCCTACAAAAAGTCTTTTTGTTTTATTCACAGTTCTAATCTAACTGATTGATAAGGTCTCTACTGATGTTGTCCTTAATGGCTCGCTACGCTCGCATTAAAAAGTATATGGTGACTACTATCAGTGTTGCTAGTCGATCACTCAAATTATTCCATCAATTATGTTATAAATACAACAGTAAATTTTTTGCATAAAAACTTTTTCATCAATGACATTCAAACTTTCAAGTTTCTCACAAATGTCGGTATAAAAAATTTACAATTTTTTTTTCATCTGGCAACACTTCAGCTGAATACAAATACATTAAAAATGTTACCAAAAACGCCAAAATCAGCTCTATAAAGTGAAAGTCATGAAAAAATGATCAATTTTCCTAATAAAATGGTCGCTGTTTAAGCCGCCATCTTGAATTTTGAAATTTCAACCTCAGTAGCCTGAAATTTCAACCTCAGACCTATGTAGCTATGTAGCCTGATCGATGCGGTCGTGGCCCAACAGGTCAAACGCAACCGACGCAACTTCTCAGCAGCCTGGATAGACTACAAAAAAGCGTTTGACTCGGTTCCCCATACGTGGTTGAAGAGGGTCCTCGAGCTGTACAAGATCGATGATACAGTTCGAAATTTCCTCGAGACCTGTATGGGGCAGTGGAGTACGCAGCGTAGTCTGTTCGGGGTGCAGCTGTCGGATGCGGAAGACCGAATAAAGATTGAGAGGGGTATATTCCAGGGCGATTGTCTGAGTCCACTTTGGTTTTGCCTGTCCCTAAATCCGCTTAGCACTTTGCTGGATAAATCAGGGACAGGTTTTCAGTTGAAGAGAGGATTGTTCAAAATATCTCACCTCTTCTACATGGATGATCTCAAGTTGCTTGCTCCAAATGCTCAGAGGCTGGCTGAGCTGCTGAAAATCACAAAGGATTTCAGTAGCTCCATCAGCATGGAGTTTGGGCTGGACAAGTGTGCGGTTATCCATGTGGATAGAGGTCGGATAAGTGATTCCACCCAAGTGGACCTACCGGATGGATCCACCATCCGTACCCTCTCCGAAACTGATACATACCGGTATCTGGGTATGTCACAGAATCTGGGTGTGCATATGGCGGACGTGAAACAATCCGTTGAGGGGACCTTTTTGGGACGCCTGACTAAGGTGCTTGAAAGCTACCTGTCAGGCGTCAACAAAGTCAGGCCGTTTTCTCTCTTTGTCGCCCTGACCCCCGGCCGTCTAGCCCCCTCTGCCGGGGGGAATCCTCCCACCCCTCGAATCGTCAAGGGGTCGGGAAGAGTAAATTATGGATACGGGAATAATAATAATAATAATAAAGGGAAGCGTGTGCATCGATAGATGCGATGAGCCCCATCACCATAGAGTCGGATGACGTGTTGGCTGCGGTCCGTAAAGCTCCGAACTGGAAAACTCCAGGGATTGACGGACTGCACCACTACTGGTTGAAGAGTTTCCGCTCGTGCCACGCATTCCTGGCCCGCCAATTCCAAGACGCCCTAGAACAGCGATGTCTCCCAAACTTCTTAACAACTGGGGTCACTCACCTAGCTCCAAAGTCCACCAATACCGCGGATCCGTCACAATACCGCCCCATAACGTGCTTGTGTACCACCTACAAAGCACTGACATTCATTCTGAAGGCTAAAATTGATGCTCACGTTGAGCACAATCATATCATGGTGGACACTCAGAATGGATGCAGGGGCGGGAGCCGCGGTTCAAAGGAGCTTCTCCTGATCGATGCGGTCGTGGCCCAACAGGTCAAACGCAACCGACGCAACTTCTCTGCAGCCTGGATAGACTACAAAAAAGCGTTTGACTCGGTTCCCCATACGTGGTTGAAGAGGGTCCTCGAGCTGTACAAGATCGATTGTACAGTTCGAAACTTCCTCGAGACCTGTATGGGGCAGTGGAGTACGCAGCTTAGTCTGTTCGGGGTGCAGCTGTCGGATGCGGAAGACCGAATAAAGATTGAGAGGGGTATATTCCAGGGCGATTGTCTGAGTCCACTTTGGTTTTGCCTGTCCCTAAATCCGCTTAGCACTTTGCTGGATAAACCAGGGACAGGTTTTCAGTTGAAGAGAGGATTGTTCAAAATATCACACCTCTTCTACATGGATGATCTCAAGTTGCTTGCCCCAAATGCTCAGAGGCTGGCGGAGCTGCTGAAAATCACAAAGGATTTCAGTAGCTCCATCAGCATGGAGTTTGGGCTGGACAAGTGTGCGGTTATCCATGTGGATAGAGGTCGGATAAGTGATTCCAACCAAGTGGACCTACCGGATGGATCCACCATCCGTACCCTCTCCGAAACTGATACATACCGGTATCTGGGTATGTCACAGAATCTGGGTGTGCATATGGCGGACGTGAAACAATCCGTTAAGGAGGCCTTTTTGGGACGCCTGACTAAGGTGCTTGAAAGCTACCTATCAGGCGTCAACAAAGTCAGGGCCATCAACGGTTGGGTCATGCCAGTCCTAATGTACACCTTTGGCATACTCAGATGGACTCAGACCGAATTGGACGCCCTGGATCGGAAAGTCCGCACAACTTTGACACTCC